AGCAGCGCCGGCACGATCTTCTCCGTTCCCTTGCCACTACACAAGATGTCATTGTGTGGGTGTTTTTCGGGATGAAGACGAGGCAGATGCCGCCACTTCCGGCTCTGCATCCACTGTTTCTGCTGCAGGTGGTGTCTTTGCTAGCTATGTTTCACTGTTGTTGCCGCTCCTGATATTTTGTGTGTGTTCTCGCTGGTGTTGCCGATGGGTTCTGGCGGCGACAGTTCATGTCGCTTTGCTATACTTTGAAGTTAACTCTCTCATCTTCGAAGGAACTAAGTAATTACCAAAAAAACCCTTTCCCTAGTGGCCCCAATATACGGATCGAATTGTTCATCCTTCTCTGGGTCTTCTTTAACAGAGACATGGGTAGTTCTCTAAATTAGGGTCCCGTTTTAGATTAAACGTGGTACGGCACCCTGAAAAAAAGGACCCTTAAAGGGATCCTAGTTCGGAGAACTACCCCCATCGTTAATCAGGAACAGGCAACCGACGAAGCCATCCTGTGTAAGCTTGCCATCGTCGCCCACACCTGCTATCCTGCAAGAAATTGCATGGAGTCTTCCTAACGGTTTAGGTTAGGGTTTGGGGTTTCTTGACCTTGTAGTTGTAGCCCCTACAGATTTATCCAATCACCCCGGCAACATATCTACTACTTATTGAAGCCTTAAACTTCTTAAACCCCTCTGGGAATCCCAGTCAAACTCTTATAAAACCCTTCTAGAAACCTGTTGCAGGACCAAAATGGAAATATTGGTCTGATTGTGAATGTCTGGCCCCTAAACCCTAAAATGCCAACCGCTCGAAGCTCCTCGAGCGCCACTTTCAAACACAGAGCTTAGTGTTTGGGAGGGGTTCAGGGTTCAGACTTTAGCTGGTTCCCTGTGGAGGCTATATTAAACATGATCATTCTTAATCCTTATATTGGGTGTCATTGTAACAAGAATGTAAAATTGTATCCAACAAGGACCCAGCTTAGGGTGTCAGGTTAGGAGGTTTAGGTTTTAAGGCTCAGGGCAGGTTGGGACTGAAAAACCAACCCTTCATGACTACATTGTTGGCAGAGGAATGGGCTTGGGAGGGTGGCCAGAGACCCGGTCCAAAAGGACCACTAACTCAACGAGCTCTTATTGCTTTAAGGTTTAGGGTTTAGAGTTTAGGGTTTAGGGCTTTTAGGGTTTAGGGTTTAGGGTTTAGGGTATATTGTCATAACCTTTCTGCTCAAACGCGTTCGCAGATTTCTAAACCTAAAAAACGCGAACCGAGATCCGTCTGTGACGGGGTTTGACGGGCCTTGTTGTCGAGCAAACGCTTTACTGCAGGCCTGAACCCTTAACCTCTAAACTGGGGCTGCTCCCTAGACCCTAAACCCCAAATCCGAATGCCCTAAACCCAAACCCCTAAACCCCAAACCCCAAATCGGAATCCCTGACACTTTCGAAGTTCCGGGACAGTCAGCGAGCCAAAAAGGAGCCGGGGACCCGAAATCGAATCCCGAAGAAAGCCTTTTTACCCAGCGAACTCCGAGACTCCATTAGGGGTTCCACAAGGTTTCCTTTGAGGATTCCTTTAAGGATTCCTTTAAGGATTCCTTTAAGGGTTCCTTTCAAGGGTTCCTTTAAGGGTTCCTCTAAAGGGTTCTACAAGGAGGCCTGTAAGGGAAAACCCCTTGATCAAGAAATGCACCTTAAATCTTATCGGGGCTCCTGCTTACCCTAAACCCTAAACCCTAAACCCTAAACCCTAAACCTTAAATTAAGGTTTATTCCGTAATGAAAGGGTCTCGGAGTCTCTGGGACGTACCTCAGGCCCATGGCTGTTTCGGGTTTATTGTGCCATCCGAGAAACCCTTTTCAACCCTTCCCCCTAAACCCCAAACCCCAAACCCCTAAACCCCTAAACCCCTAAACCCCTAAACCCCTAAACCCCTAAACCCCTAAACCCTAAACCCCAAACCCTAAAAAACCCCAAACGCTAAAAACCCTAAAAACCCTAAACCAAAACACGAAGGCTGCGCCTGATGTCGTTGGGGATGTACGCGGCGATCTCCTCCGCGGTCCGAAGAGGCGGCCCAGGCGGGTCCTGAGCTGCCGTTGGAAGTTTAGGGTTTAGGGTTTAGGGTTTCGGGTTGGGGGTTGTAGGTTTAGGGTTTAGGGTTTAGGGTTTAGGGTTTGGGGTTTGGGGTTTAGGGTTTCGGGTTTCGGGTTTTAGGTGTAGAGTTTCGGGTTTGAGGTGTAGGGTTTAGGGTTTAGGGTTTAGGGTTTAGGGTTTAGGGTTTTGGGTTTAGGTAGTCTTAGGGTTTAGGCGGGTTGCTTTAGGGTGTTAGGGTATAGGGTTTCAGGTATTAGATATTCTTTTCTTGAAGGGATCTGCAAGCGTTTCCACAAGGTTCCAAAGTTTGGGGTTCCATAAGGGATCTATACATCCCGTGAACCCTAAACCCTAAACCCTGTCTACAAAGGCTTCGATAACGGGTCCAAGGTTCGGGGTTCTATCAGGGATTTATGGGGGCTTCTATACCGGTCCAGGGCTCGGGGTTCTAAATTCTTTTGTGGTTGCTTTTTTTGAACTCCTTTTTCCGACCGCAAGACTACGTAGTCCCCAGACGAAAGGGCCATGGAGGCCCAGGAGATTTTTTCGGGTTTAGGGTTCAGTGTAGGACTCTGTACGGGTTCTATATACGAGGTCAAGGGTTCTTACAGGGTTCTTATGGGTTCTGCGATCTCGAGTGGTCTTCTTATGGAGGTCTAATTTCGGTCGGCTCTACATGGTGGCCACAGGTTCTCGGGTGTTGATGGGGTGTCTAAGTATAGGGACCCTAAACCCTAAACCCCGAAACCCTAAACCCTAAATATTATAGGGTTTGGGTAACGCTGAGCAGTTGTTTAGGGTATTTCGGGTTGCGGGATCCGTGAGGAAGAGCACAGGTAATGTAGGGGCCTAAGTAATTACTAACACTATTTTGGGGGGCTCCTTATTATATTTATACTATAATGGGTCCCAAAACCCTGTTCTATTTATTAAGGCCCCTATATTACGGTTACTGCCGTTGACACACAAACACGGAAATTAGCGAACTGCCCTCCACTCTCGACGGCAGCTCTTGCAGGTTGAACAGCCGTATCAGATAACGAATCGACTCTCAGGAAAAACGAAGCACTGGCCCCAAGTTCAGGGTTTACCCTGAACCCTAAACCCTAAACCCTAAACCCTAAACCCTAAACCGGGGGCCAGCGGCCAACAAGGATGCAAGCTATTCTGGGACAGCGCCATACGACCACTCGACCGACGAGCTCCGGCTGGTGTCGCAGCGCAGCCCGCGGCCCGATGCCAGCCCCTTGAAGGGTTTAGAGTTTAGGGTTTTAGGGTTTAGGGTTTAGGGTTTAGGGTTTAGGGCATCATGGGCTCCCCGGATAACACGCACCAGAACTCACCACCTCTTGCGTGGAGCTCGGTGGGATGGCTTTCCCTGGACGTCTCTGCGGGATGCTCATCTATCCTCGTGGCCAGCGTGTCTCCCGCGCGCAGCGGCTAAGCTGCAGGTAGGCCCAAACATGCTTCCTGGGCCGACGTGGCATCCTCATGCCATAGTGGCCATAGTGCCCCTGCAGGAGCAAGGTCATAGGGTTTGAGGAAAGGCCGACAAGGTTCCTGAAACCCCAGCCCCGGCCCCCAAACTTTTCCGGGACACCCAAAGTACACAGTAGTTCCGAAAGCTATGAACTCGACTCCCTACGAGACACAAGTGAAACAAGAGGGCCCCACACCCGGGAAGACGCTTAGGGATTTAGGCTCTGGGGGCCCTGCACCTTCAACGCCCAGAACTCAAGACACCAAACAGCCCACAATCCTCAACCAGTAAACCTGTACATAAATCTGGTTGGGGTTTGAGAATTCAGGGTTTGGGACTTCGGTCTGGGGGAGGTCTTCCAACCTATCATCGCTTTGCATAGACGGCCTATGCTCTCGAACTTATGAAGCAGAAGCAACATGATGTACAACCCCGCCTTCTGAGGAAGGCTTGTGGTGGGATCCCAAAATTGATGCAAAATTGATACGCTTGAAGAAAGGAGGCTGACTCAGCCAGTATCTACACTTAAAGTACCCTGTGTAAAAGGCCGTAAGTTATACACCCTCAGTAGGGGTCTACGCTGAACCCCATAGAACCCTTCTAAACCCTCTAAAAAATCTCAAACGAATCGCAAAAGGCGTTATAAACCTTAAGCAGGGATCTTCGTGAAAAGAACCTGCCTAAAACCCTCAACCTATCCACAGAGCCTTCTTTAAAGCAACTTCAAACTAACCCGTAAAAAGCGTCATACGCCCGAAACAGGATTGACTTCCCTCTGCTGCGGCTGAGCCGCCCAAGCACCAAAATAAACCGGCGAGAAGATCTCACCTGACTAACTAGTATAAGGGCAGTAAGAATTAGAATAAAACCTGTTTGTTGATGAGTGGGTGCATTTTACGTTTACAGGCTAATCTAGAATCAGGAACCCCTGAACCCTAAACCCTAAACCCTAAACCCTAAACCCTAAACCCTAAACCCTAAACCCCAGGGAGTATATAGTACTAGCGCGGTATCGAGGGACCTCGCATTGCTTAGTTCGGGACTGCTTGGCTTCGAGCTTCAGGGCTTAGGGGTGTAGGGTTTA